TAATGTTATCTAATGCTGGATGTACTAATATAACACCTTTTTCTAAAGATATATCATCAGTAAGTTACATAAAATTTATTATTTTATTTGATTTCAAAAATATTTATTATACCATTATTTATGCATTAAATCAATAGTGTGAATTTTGGACACAATCTAGTGATCCAACAAATGATCACAATAATTTGAATTTTTTATATGAATCAGGATTTTTGAATTCATTCCCTAAACAACATAATCCTAAACAAGATACTAATGATGGAGAAATTTTTTGGGATTGTTTTAATCAATCATTACAAGCCAATAAAAAAGGTTATAATGGGAAGAAAAGGATCCTTTCTATAATAGCAGAAAAATTTTCTTACAAAATTTTGATGGATAAATTAAAAGTAAGTATCAGAATATAAAAAAAGAATCTGCAAAATATTAATTGATATTTGCCTTTGATTAAAATAGGCAGCAGAGGGTACAATTATTGAGGCAAAAAAATATGCACAAATTAATGGTCCTGGTTGTGAAGTAATAGAAAAACCTGTTAGAAAAATCAAAAAAATTACTTCTGAGCAAGAAGAACAATTCATTACCTTTTTTCAAGATAAAGCTCATGTTATAATGAGTTCTTATAAAACTGATGCTAAAACAGGTCAACCAGTGGTTTATCTTCAAAATACAAAAAATGCTTTATGGGAAAAATTCAAGTATTCTCTTCCAAATGGTGTCAAGCGTACAACCTTCTATGCTAAATTAATTAGCAATCAATATGTTTATTGTGAAGATCTTGGAGGATTATGCTCTACATGTAGTACATATGGATATGAAACATTTGAAGATATTTTGAATCTAATAAGAAAAATAAACAATATGGAATTACAGGTATATTTAATTAACAATAATAATTATATATAGAATTTTTGACATATAATTAATACTGAATATAATCTTATTTAAAGAATACATTTTTCCAAAGATGTCAATCCTTACAACGTTATTTAAAAAAAAAGAGTATGAAGAACATTTAATAGTAACTGATCATGGAATAACTTCTCATAATTTGTGTATAAATCATTGCTTGCTATATGCATTTGGTGAATGCAATGCTTCACATACTCATGCCTGTGATGAATGTCAAGAAATATTCCAGTTTTTTGATGATTTAAAAGGCAA